TCATACATGTCTACTCAACTTGTTTGTACTTGAAAGTCTACAAATTTTTGAGAGGCCTTTCGAAGGCACTGACCTTCTCGACTTCTTACAGTCAAGAAGTAGGTAGTTCGACTTTTGTGACCTACTGGAAGAAGAACGCGAAGCGCTCGTTTGTCCGAAAAATCCGATTCTCATAATTTTACCCACATCAGGGAGCACTTGACCTCAGTTCCGGCCGAAAAACATTGGTCATGGTTTATGTCAACGCTAAAACCTGTAGTTTAAGCGTGAATGACATACGGCAGAGGATCACAGTGATAATTTAAGTGATGATAATTTGCTCGACATGTTGGGAGGAATCTTTGAATAAACTTACTATATCGTAGTTTTTAATTTTTAATTGCGTGTTTTGGATGAACTCGAACGAGGAATACTAAAATGTTGCCGAGCAAGCGAATTCACATATGCGCGCCACAAACCTATCTTTGATGTCACCGTACCTTTCCCGCCTTCTAAATACTTTCTCTGGGCAACATAGACAAAACCTTCACGAGAGGTGAGATGCCGATTTGAATCAGGACTGCTTTGAAATAGTCTGAATGAGCAGGTATCGCTTCATTCATTGCAATGCCGACATCGGCTTAACCTAAAGCCACTGTATAATGTTTATCTTCATGCTCTTAGTTTCAGGAAAGTTGCGTGTCCTCGTATGCCGCAAGGATTGTGGTGGACTAAAGACCAAAGTGTTCAGGAAAGCGACAAATACGATGCAAGTACTGAACTTCAACAGTAACCACCCAATCAGCCACAAACGCAGTTGTGTAAGGACGCTCTATCGGCGTGTCGAAACGCACTGCAGTGAGCCGGAAGACAAAATTGCTGAACTACAATACCTCCGACGGGTCTTCAAAGCCAATGGCTACCCGCGCAACTTCGTCAACCGGTGCATACGCAAAAGGGACCAAAGGCCTAACCGCACGGACACCAAGTCTTGGCGGGCACTTCCGTATGTCAAGAACGTTTCGGAAGCTGTCGGCCGCCTTCTCGCACCACTTGGGGTTGGAGTGGCACACAGACCGGAGGCAACCATCAGGCGTCTGATCATGAAACCGAAAGACCCACTGCCACGGCTAGAAACGTCTGGAGTCGTTTATCGGATCTGGTGCAGTTGCGGACAAAGCAACTACGTCGGAGAAACCGGAAGACAACTCCGAACGAGAATGGCCGAACACGCGGCAGCGGTGCGCAGAAATGACGCCAGCTCTCAAGTTGCGGCTCATTCGACGAGATCCGGCCACACATTTAAATTCGATGAGGCCGAAATTCTCGCAAGAGGTGACAACCGAGTGAGCCGGGAGCTACTGGAATCATGGTTTACTGGCCCCCAGTCCATCAACAAGTGCAACGATCTTCCCATTCAATACAGCGTGCTGAGACTTCGTCTAGGCGGAGTAATTGGCCACGCGGGGAGCGCACTGGTGAACACTCTTCCCAACACCCGGGTCAACGCGTCAGATGGTCGAGCCATCATCACGCCAACATCCAACACACGTGATGAAATTGCAGCAATTATCGACTCGAATGTCGGCCATTAAGCAATGATCACACCAAGCGTGACAACCCCGGATGAAGGGGGAAGCCGTGAACGGTCATAGGTATGCGGTAGCATGGCTGCCGCATCCTATAAATACCGCAGCCCCTTGTGCAACAACCACCCGTTTCTGCTCTTTTGTCTCTGATGATGGATTCGAGTAGGAATCCGAAACGTCAGGCTAATAAAGCTCTTGTCCCGGCGATCGTGTCTCCTTCTTCAAAAGTTGCGTGGGTTACTCATATTTCTTTTCGAAATAATGGCATCAATTGTGTTGCTAATAAACCTCCACTGGTTAAGGTCCTTCAGGAATTGCGTCGTATTCGACATGACGGTGTCCAGCGAGTTACCGAGGAAGAAAGTGAAAATGGCTGCAGAACGAACATTTGACGTAAGTAATCTACCTAGGTCCTAGGCCATTAGCTCCAGTTTGCATATGAGACTGGCTTCGAGTAACTTTTACAACATTTCTAACACTTGTAATTTTCTGGTAATCACGGCTACGGACATCAAAGTTTAATGCGGCTTGCTTAAAATTAAATACACAATACTTGGAATTGACCGACTCGAAAGTTACTATGGGGTTAGCTTTTATGATTTACTGGTACTCGTTGAGCTTGTGACGGTTATTTTATTGTACAAAATTTAGTTGCAGTGAGATGGTGTTTATCTCTCTCGACAAGTATCAGGGTCTCCGTTAACTCAAACAGTACACTTATTTTTAGTCTTCAGATCTTATGTAAGTACAAGGATGAAAAACAGTGGTCAGTCGACACAGAATAGGGGCAATAAATAAAATATTTAGCTGTCTATAGCATTTATCTTAGTCACCTCTCCCTCCCTCAATCGCGCAGACTGGTGGTTTGTGTGGCCTCATTTGCTGATGAGACATGAAGCTACCTGTTTATATGTGACGGAAATCTGTTGACGCTTCCATCCAGTCGAACCACACTTCCCTGTCTGGAGGTCCTCTAGTGTAACAGTAAGAACGTTGCTTTTTGCTCAAAGCTTGCTGGGACGACAAATCTGTTTCGCCAAGTCTTTTTGGTGGCAGTTATCAAGTGTTATCAGAAATGTGCAATATTATATAAGAATTGCATGTAAGTCAAGCAAAGAAGGACTAATTGCATCTCCTTTCTTCTTGCGGGAGGTCATTTCTCGAATACATTTTCTACACTCTATTTCCCAACGTGCTACTGTCACGAAGCGAACACGCAACAAATTATTTGAGCAGATTAATGGTACGTACTTCGGACAGTATGTGGTCTTATGACTCGTGAGTATCGGGGAACATTGCGAATTAGTTTAGTTTGCAGTTTAAGAAGTTTAATAACAACGTCGAAACCATGATCGGGAGACAAATGCATAATTGTTTGAAGTGCCCGAGAAGCGAAAGAAAAAAGTGAAAGAAGGGGCAAACAAAGGGTGCGCGGTTGTGGGATTTGAAATTGCACTGTAAGTCCCAAGAATACAATTATGGTTGGACTACGGCCAATGAGGATGGCCACATACTCGGCATTCAGATAATTAAAGACGTAGATGATATTAATATGCTCCTCAGTA